GTGGGTCCTGACAGACAGTTTAGAAAAACAACAAAAATTTTATTGATTGTCTAAGGCACTAAGGGATGACTCTTACTCTCTCATACTTGCATAGTTATACAACATGATTTTTATACAATATGATTTCAACTGACTTGAAGAGAGAAATAATTACATATGCTTATTATTGATTCCTTTCAGTCATCTCATGATTTCTAATTTACTGTTGATTGGTTTCTCTTGACATTGGTTTATCAGTGTTGATGTTTGCAGAACAGAAGTGCAGGTCCCAGTATTTCTAATGCGGTCTTTACTCTTCTGTAGAGGAGTAACCAGAATTGTCCACTAAGTATTCCTATTTAGTAAGAGTCCAGCTGCACAAGTTCCTTTTAGTTGGAGGCCAGCAAGAACCTATATCCCCCTAAGAGTTTGGAAAAAAAATGTTTTTCTCTGTGTTTGCTACTTTTGTTTTTTGTAGACTCATCGTTCCTCAATGTTAGCCAATCTGGTTTTAATCTAATGAATAATCTGTGTCGGGTAGGCAATTTACATTCTCACAGGAATGCACTCTATGTTTATTTAAACCATGAGGACGTTGATACTTTATGCCTTTTATCAGCAGGGTTATAGCTATCTTATGATGGGAGCTCAAATCAAGATCTCACATTTCATAATCTTTGTATCTATTGAATTCATAGTTAAAATAATTTAATGATAATGACCACATGACATCTTACAAAACCAAGAAAAAATGTTTCTCATATTAATATATTAAGTATTTTGTAAATGATAGAGATACTAAAGTTATACATATGGCTGATGGGTATCACATTTGGATTATAGGTTAAATTTTCTTTTACAGAAATTATCTTATTAAAAAAATAATCCATAATGTGAAAAAAAATGTAGAAAATTCTTAAAATACTGATATTAATACTCAGTACAGTAGTACTGAGTATTTAACATCTGTTTAAAATATTTTTAATAATTGGAATCATTTAGTTGACATGGCATGATTAATTAAATAGTTACCAATTGCTTATTCTGATTAAAGCAATTTTAGTTTTGGGAAAATATTATGCGCAAGTCTTAATTTTTTGGTGACAGGATATATTTTTTTTATCTTTCTGTACTGTTCATCAATAGATTAACAAATATTTCTGTAATGAACATCTAAGGGCACACTTGGCAGGTTGAGTGTAATGCTCTGTGTCTCCAAAGCAAATAGTCATTGGAAAGAGAGTCAAAAAATGAAGAATTGTCCTTTTTTTAAGTGAATAGTTTTTGAGATATTGCAATTTAAAAATTTATGTACAAACTATATGGATTTGGCAGATGATGGGAGTTGTTACATGCTTCACAATGTTCAGTGGCATGCACCTGTCAATGATTAGCACCAGTGTTTCAACAATCAATTAAGACAGTGCAACAGAAAATTCCAAAATTTTATCACTTGTTTACAGTATGATAGTAGAGTATAATATATTCTTGGGACATACTGAAAACTTGTGTGTTTCAACTACATTCCATATTTTAGTTACCATACACCGATGTAAGCTGTTGAATGATGATGAAATGATTACAAATAAAGCCAAGCTAGGCTCAAATTTTGTTTATTTATTTATTTTTTAAAGTGTTCATGGAAACTACATGTCAGGTCCACAGATCTTCTGTAACTTAGTTTTAAACAGAAAACATAGTTTATTCAAAATTTAGCTAGAATGTTTTTTGTTGTTATTGTTGTTAGCCATATGTGCTATATTTTTTAACTTTCATTTAATTCCTGGTTTTCTACATTATATTAATTAATTTAATTACATTAATTAAATTTATAAATTGAATTAATTCAATTTATAAATTGAATTAATTCAATAAATTGAATTAATTCAATTAATTATAAATTGAATTAATTCAATTTATTGAATTAATTCAATTTATAAAATTCTGAATTAATTCAGAATAATATGAAAAGATTTAATTTTGCATAGTAAACGAATTTAGTTATACTTGTCTATTGCTCAAAAATTGTTATGTTTTTGTTGAAAAAAAGCTGCAGAACAATAAATTTATAGTATTTTAAATGCCACTTTACTCAAAACTACTATAAACACTTTAATGAAGCTACATATGTGCTTCATTAATCTGTGCTCTAGGATTTCTTTGATCTTCTGGTTTTCTTTGTTAGAACACTTCATTGTTACAGTTGTTATAACAGTAACATAATGTTGAAACCAAGACTTATACAGGGTGAGTCATAAGTCTCCATACAAATGGTGAAAGCGGTGATTATTTGTACAAATGGTATCATATGATGCAACAGAATAATGTCAATCCATTCTTCCTTCGTTGGTGGCATTTCTTTTCAATTGGTTTACCTTCCTGAAAATGAAAAAGAAATTAGTCACCGCTTTCACCGCATTTGTATGGAGACTTATGACTCACTCTGTATTTATGTTGTTATAATGTTATGAGTTTCAGTTTTGGATTATTTTGCATAACAATTGCTATAACAGGGTGTTATAAGGAGAGAAACATAAAAATCAGAAAAATCTCAAAAGTACATCTTTCAAAATAATTTATATTTTGTTAGACAAATTCCCTTTTAGATAAGTAGAACTCACTCACTTAATCATGGATATTGCTATCTATCATTTAATGTTATTAAAATAGGCAAGTTCTAAAACATACAAGCTATAATATAATTATAAAGCTTACCTTATTATAATTAGAGTTTGGTTACAGTTATCATTATATATATATATATATATTTATTCTCTTTTCATACTATCAGCCTTGACTTGTGATTGATAATGCATGGTTGTTATATAACCAATAATTAACTTTATACTTTAGTCTTAATCATTATTTGCTTGCAGTATAAGCATTTAAATTGTTGAAATTCCTACTTCAGTTATATGGTAGATATTGTTAAAGATAGTATTGAAAAACCAGCAGGCAAACAATACTGTAAGACAGTGGTTTCCAACCTTGTGCCCGTGGGCGCACATGCACCTGCAGTGCTATTTACATGTGTCCATGGCAAAGTGTTGAAATAATTAAAAAGATTTAAATCTTAACAATAAAGAAAATAAAAAGATACTTTAGTTTTTAAAATCTTGCCAAATGTAGTTAGAAATTTGCTAAATTGACTACATTTGGGCTACACACTGCTGTCTAATCATCCATCATGCCTATTATAATCATGTCTCCAGTGGAATCTCTATTGTATTAGTAGAGAGGTTGAGGAATTTTTCATTGCAAAAACATGAACATCGGCTGTTCAGCGCCACCATTCTGTAAGCCTAAAAGTTTGACAGTGGCGTTTGGAACGTCGAGTGTGATTCCAATGACTATCCAAACACCATTGTCAAACTTCTAGGCTTATAGGATGGTGGCGCTGAACATCCGTTGTTCACATTTTTGTGATGAAAACTTTGGCTGCAACCTCTCTAGTAATATGGTATTAGTTGTCATTGTGTGTTGTAAACTCATACTGTTGTCATCACATGCTGTAATTGTGTTGTGTTTTTTTTTTGTATATAAACATTTTACCACAAAATGAGTAATCCAAGTAAAAAGCAATGAACCTATCATTTTACCAAAGATTGGGAAGAAGACTACTTTGTTATCGAAAGTAAGGAGAAATGTATTTGCTTAATATGCAACATCATTATATCAGTGGGAAAAAAAAAGTTGAACATCATTACAAAAACCAATCACACTTATATTGAGGTTAGTTATCTGACTAAATCTGAGTTAAGAAAAAGAATATTTAATCAACTAAAATCGGGATTATCTATCCAGCAAGCATTTTTTACCAGCCATGTAAATAAAAATAAAAATGCCGGTATTGCTTCCTTTAAAATTTCTTATTTGTTGGCAAAACAAAAAACCCATTTTTAGAAAGTGAACTAATTAAGGAAGAATTTCTGGTTGGAACTGATTCATTATTTGAAGGATTTTCTAATAAACAAAAAATTATTTCATCAATACAAGATTTGTCATTATCAAACAATACAAGTACAAGCACAAGAAGAATTCAGGCAATTTCAACAGATTTACAAAGTCAGTTGAAAAATGATTTGGAAGAATGTGAGTCTTTCTCATTACAATTAGATGAGTCAACAGATGTATCAGATACAGTGCAATTGGCAGTAATGATAGGAATGGTATTCAGTGATTTTAGTGTGAAAGAAGAACTACTTAAAGTAACTATCAATGCAAGAGCAAACAAAGGGTGAAGATACAGTGGTGCCTCGTATAACGTACTTAATCCGTTCCAGGTGCACATCCATTAAGTGTAAAGTCCGTTATACAAAACGCATTTTTCCATAGAAATACATGTTAAAACATATAATTCGTTCCGCAGCATAAAATAACCGTATTGTACCGTAAAAAAATGAAAATGGAGCAGTCACCAATTATGCCGGGTGGTCAGATGTTGTGAGGAGGAGGTGAACGAACACTTTCTTTACACATTCATAAAGATACAGACTTTTTACACATTGCAGCAGGTCTCTTTTTATTGTTTTTTAATCGGAGTCAGATTCAGGAGAGGCTACCGGAGTTTGCAGGTCATCTCCTCTTGTTCCATCCTTTGTTTTTTGGCAGCTTGCTTCTTGAAAAACATGTCCAAGGTGGTCTGTTTCTCTCTCTTCTTCAACAGCTGTTGGAAATGACAGGCAAGGGTGTCATTGACCCAGCTATTCCAGAGTGAGCTAGTCTCAGTTTGTGATAAAAATAATAAAAATAGGCAGTATTGATTGTTTCATTATCGATTTATACATCAGATTGACATCAGTTAAAAAGATTAAATGCTAAAGTGAGAAATTTTCTGTTTGGTTCGATAATTTATAGATTTATGCAATTCATACTTTGATTTCAAGACATAATGAATTTTGAAAAATAAACTGGTATTTAACATGTTTTTATTAATTATGAAATTAAAAAAAATGAATATTACATAAATTTTATATAATATTATCTAATTTACTTTGAAATTAATACTGAATATTTTATAGTGGACTGTAAATGGAGAACTTCGAATTGGATTTTTCACTCGACGACTGATACAAGTCGGTGAAGAATTAACATTTGATTATCAGTTCCAAAGATACGGGTAAGAAAAATGCTTTATGTTTTCCTGTTTATTGATTTTAATAAATTAGATTGTTATAAATTAGCTTAAGAATGCAAAACGAATAAAACTAATGGAAGATAAGGGAATACTTTCAAACATATTTTTAGTATTTTAAAGTAAATTATCTGTAGGCAATTACAAAATACATTAACAACAACCATTGCATACCATATTTCAATGCATATTAGTGATGGGACAGTACCAAAATTTCCCCCAATTTTGATATGATTCCAGATTCTGATTTTTTTGTATACTTTCTAAAGTTTTTTTTTTTGTTTAGGAAAATTAACTATTTACATTACGAGCATGGTACATTCGTTAATTAATAAACATTAAACTTAAGAATGGAAAATGATTTCGAAATCCAGAATCAATCTTTCAAAAGAAACCAAAAATTCTCCATTCATGTGTGGATATGCATGCTTTTATTGTGTATTACAAAACAAATTAGTAATCTTGTTTCCGATAAAGTTAATATTGCGACACTACTCCAAAGAAATTATTGCTAATTAATTTCTGTTTACTCAAAGAATTATCCCATCATATCAACTAGAGTTGCCATCTTTGGAAATTGCTTTCTGGCCAATGCAAGAGGGGAGGGTAAATGAGAAGATACACTTCTTTTTTTCATGCTTATCGCAATTGGCATGCCACGTAAATGCTGTAATTCCATCATACTTAACATTAAATGAGGTTTGGCAAATGATGCAATGAGCCAAACAAATTATCATTATTAAGAGTTAACTAAGTTTCGAATTCATTCTCTTGAGCCAGGTTTTCTTAAATGTACAATTGTGTAAACTTTTTTCAAGGAAAAAATATTCAAACAAATGTCTAGACCAGGGGTCGGCAACCTGCGGCTCGCGAGCCACATGCTGCTCTTTGGATGTGAAGCCTCGGCTCTTTAGTTCCATACGCAAATATTATTTATTTTATCAAAAAAAAAAACATTTAAAAATCGTTCTGAATCGATTAACGAGGATTAGGCACCGATTCTATCTCTCAGCCACTTGTACTCGCTTTTCACCGCACCCCTCCCCCGTGACACGCGTCGTCACTGTCGTCAGTCCGTCGGAAGCTCTCGAATGACGCCGTCGTCGGATGTTTCTATGAGGTTTAATTCGCTTTCGACGCAAGACAATTCTGAATAAATAGATTAGTTTTTTTTTTATCAAAAAACTTTATTTATGCGAGTACTATTTATTGTTGGCAAGAAAAAATTTTGTGGCTCTTTAAAAACTTTGAAATTTTGTAAATTGTAATTTTTGGCTCTTCCGACTCAAAAGGTTGCCGACCCCTAGTCTAGACTGATTCATCTTGAAAAATCAATTTTTAAAACTCCAAAACAGCAGAAAATTTAGTGCAAATAATTATTGTGCTGCAATTGAAAAAAATTGTATACAGGTAACCCCCATATAACATGGGAGTTATGTTCCAAAAAATTGCCGTGTTATGCGGATCCGTGTTATACGAAACAAAGAACTAGTGCAAAAAGGGGTGCTAAGTTCCAAAATTTAAAAAACATGCTGTTAAATCCTTATTTAAATTGGATTTATTATTCATTTTTTTCATAGGTAAAATACTTATTTATTATTTAAGTAAATATTTTATCAGAGGATTATTCATTTTATATGATGATCTCAGCATGACTGGTAACTGTTTTTGGATGCATTCATTAATAGCGGTCGCTCTGCAACGGGCGTGAACTGCTGTTTGTAGGAATTTAGGAATGACAGTGAAAGAAAGATGGTGGCGCCTGCACTGTCAATAGTATTATGATGGAGGAATCTATAATTCTAAAATGAGCTTTTAGAGGCAAAAGAAGGGTCCCAATTGTAAAATTTCACCATTAAATGGATTATTTGTTGAAAGAGCATTCAAAGTAGCCACAAAAACAATTCGAATGCTCACACGGAGTTATGCAGAAGTATAAAAGAACGCATCCTTTATTACATTTCATGTTGTATGAGGGTTTTACCCAATTCCTGAACCGTGTTAGAGTGAACCCGTGCTATAAAAGCACCGTGTTATACGGGGGATGTTCCCAATTCTCAAATCGTGTTAGAGTGAATCCATGCTATAGAAGTGCTGTGTTATACGGAGGTTACCTGTACTTATAAATTCCCACTTCCATCCATCCATCTATCTGTCTGTTTGTCTGTCTTTCCTTAATCTCAAGAATGGAGTTAGATAGATGAAAATCAAGTCCAGATATGAAAAGCTTAGGAACAGGATTAACTATTTTTTCCCTTGAAAGAAGTTAGATAGATAACTGGCACTACCCTATTCCTAACAGGAAAAGTATGATGTACAGGGACAAGCCACTACTAATTTGAGGTGGAGAACATATATTTTAAATTAAATTAATTAAAAGTATGATAAAAAATTGTAGCTCAGCATTGTGATGATGTCACAATAAATAATTGCTTGTTTTTACTTAGAATCACATGAATTGCATTTATGATTCCTAGTATCATCTGTGAATCATGACAAAAATACTTCTATATAAACTGAAACTAGAACTGAAGAAGATTTGAACTTTTTTTATATATAATTGAAACCATGTTGTGACTCTTCTTTGATTCTTAAACACTATGTAGTATAATAAATTCAAACACTTGGCATTCTATCATCTTTATTTAGTTTAGTTGATACCTGTTTAAAATACACATTTCGGGCATAACATGCCCCTCGTTGACCAACTAAAATTATAACAAGAAATACATACAGTATGTAAAAGGTTAAAAATATATATATAAGTGGTAAAGATATTTTAGAACATACATAAACACGGATAAGAAAGAACATAGATGTAAGCAAAAAGTCTCGTACTGACAGTACATCCATCTTTTAATTTTGTCACCCAAAAAGGAAACAATGAAGGTACGTTTATAATGTATATGCGTCATGCAGATCACCTTATCGAGATGATAAATGTTATATTTATAATATTTATTTAAACAGATAGACAATAAATGTATAAGCTGTATAAATATGTATTCATCCATGATACCCAGTTTATAAATAATCCCGAGGTATGTTCTAAAATATCTTTACCACTTATATGTATTTTTTAACCTTTTATGTACTGTATGTATTTTTTGTTATAATTTTAGTTGGCCGAAGAGGGGCATGTTATGCCCGTTTGTGTATTTTAAACACGTATCAACTAAACTAAATAAAGATGATAGAATGCTGAGTGTTTGAATTTATTACACTACATAGTGTTTAAGAATCAAAAAGATTTGAACTGTCTTCTTAAACAGTTTGAATCTTCTTGTTAAACCTGATGTAGACCTATGAAAAGGAGGTTGTAACATTCATTTAAAGAAATTAAACTGTTGCTGAAAAAAGTATTTAAGGTGTTGTTCAAGCATTTTGTTATTATAAGTAAACATATTAAATATTAAAAATAATTTTATACAATATTTTTTTAATTTTTTGTTAATATTTTAAACTATTTTGCTGGTATTTAAGTACTTTTGTCGACTGTTGGCCTCAATTTGAAATTGCCTTCAAGCCGACCCAATATAGGTCGGGAAAAAAACTAATGTCACTCCATCTCCTTTAAAATGGTGACAGTTAGTGTTGACCAAATGCAATCTCTCATCGTTCCAACTACACAAAAGAAAAGTCTTCTGTGACAGATGTCATCTTGTATATGGGGCATTGCATGCTCTCTGCTTTGTTGACATAAAAGCTTCCAATAAGCTAATACTTAATTGTTAATATTGTAATTTAAAAAGTTTTTAATCTTTGATCAAAACAAATAATTAATTTTTTTGTTAAATGTAGAAGAATCATTTTAAGAATTGGAAATCATGACTAGATTTGCTCAATTCCAATACCCGAAAAATGTTTGATTTTTCTGATTCCTATTCTGATTAATCGTTCCTTCACTAGCACATATATTGCAATTAATACTGTTTTTCTCTAATTGGTTATGAGTTTGGCTTGCATTTTATTGGTTGAAGAAAGTCTGGAATCAGAAACCATTAACAAACTATTTCTGTTAAGGTATGTCAAAAGTGTTGTATTATACCATACCAGGTATGTACTGTACTTGCTACTGTACTATACAATAGCAAGTATCTCCAATCAAACCTATTTCTGTTTACTTGTAGGAATCTCTATATATCTTGAAACCTGTCTATCTCAAATATTTGTTATTGTTCCCTTGAGATAGACAGGTTCAACTATAATTCATCTCCCAAATCAATTATTATTTGTGGAAAAATGACAATTTTATTATTGTCATATACTTTATGTAGTCAAACCTCACTATAATGATATTTTGGAAACCAGGAAACTAGTATACTAAGATTATTATTCCTGACTGTCTTGAAATTTAAGAATCAAGATCATTAAGAAAGTGAAAATTAGTTTAAATGTTATTCACTACAATTTATATAATGCTTTCTGATTGGTTCTGAATTATTTATTAACCAAGAAATTGTATTACATTGTTTTGAACTTTTTGTTGTCTTAAAAAAATTTATTATTTTATTATTTATTATTTGGCTTATTTTTTGTAAGCTATGGTTTACAAATGCTGAATGAACTGTGTCAAGAGCAGCTAGTTGTTTGTTTCCCATTCCAGGAATTGTGATTTCCGTATGTTGGATTGTTTCCATTTGAGAAATAACTTCTAAGATACATGGAATTGATTCTTCCTCATCTTGGACATCTCTCTCTAACTCTGCCAGAATTGTCTCATCTGTGCAGTCTGTAAATAAATATAGCTTTTCATCAACAGAAGCATAATCTTCTGCCACAATGTCTAATGTTGTTGCCTGTAATACTGGAATATTTTTGGAGTAGTTCCTGGAGATCTCCACTTTGTGACACCAAAGGCATGTTACCAGCTTGTTTGATGCCAGGTCATTGTTCTCATTGTCGGATAACACAGATATATTATTCTCTTGAATGAAGACAAGTTTCACCTCTTCCAGCAGTTATTGATTGTAACAGGTTGCAAATTCCACCACCAGCTGGAGCTCTTATTTGGCAAGAAAAGGAAACACTTCATGATTGGTTGGCACTTGCAGTTCCTTGTAATCAGATTGGCTGAGATAGTGATGATGATCGTAGTACTGCCAATTAGCTAGATGTGGAAAAACTATTCTGGAGAACAGGGAAGATTCATAGATAACACTATTAGCAAGTAGGTGCTCTTAGTTCTTTGCCATGTGACTCATGTATCAGTAAGTCATGGCTCATGCCAATAGTCATATCATTGTATCAGGGTTTTTGCTATTGTTGTAGGGTGATAAATTACATTATTTGTATAGGACTTGGGCTAGGACCACAGAAGTTTTATCATTGTACTAAGGTTTATTGTTGTAATGGGTATTGTTTTTGAGAGGTTTGACTCTATTGCTTTATTTTCTTTATAATTTCTATTGTGAATGTTCTTAAATTTAGTAGTTAATCATAAAATAAAATGATGAAAATATGTATATTTTGCTTAATATTATATAAGGCATTTTTATTTTGAATTTTTTTTTAAATAACATTTGGATAAAATTTTGGAATATTTTGTTAACAAGATGACAATGATGGTAAATTTCTTAAATATTAAATAGTCCTAAGAAACATATAGCTAATTAGGAATGAATATTCAACTTTTTCAGGAAAGAGGCGCAAAAGTGTTTTTGCGAATCTAGTAATTGCCGAGGTTATATAGGAGACGATAAACAGTTAGAACTGAAGCCTTCTCAGAACAGAAGTCTTATACCTAAGCGTCGTAAAGCTTTAGATGAAAGGAAACGAGAATTGGTAGAAGATTTTGCAGTAAGTATTCTTATGAGTATTTTATTATTACATTTAATCATTAAATATAATTATAAATTAAATTTTCAAATTTGAAAGCAATCTGGTTCAGTAACAAAAATATATTGAAAGTGTATGTCTTTTTTTTTACAGTTAGAGGAGGAAATTGAAAAATTAAGTGCTGTTGGAAAGTTACGAAATCGAGAACAGACACTTATGCTAGCTAGATTGATGGTTCGGGCAGAAGACACTGACACTAGGCATCGTCTTTTGGATATTATAGAGGTTAATATTCTTTTTAGTCTAATATATAAAAACTGGACATAAAGATCTGATTATAAGAAAATTGGAATAACAGTGAAAGATTATCTTTTGAAGTATAATTTATGCCCACAAAGATAAGTTAACTAAACTTTGAAAGTACTTCATTAGAGTGAATTCTTTAAATAATGTAATGAAGCAAATCTAACAAAGCGAAATGTTCATATAATTTAAATATTGATTGGGAGATTTGAAGGAGGTTTCAGTATATGACAGTGTAGATTTAATCTTTATTGTCATGTAGCAGAAGTTCTTGATATATTCTGAATTTACAAAGAAAAAGAAAAGGAAATGAAAAGAAAACATATAAACTTTATGCTAAATTAAAAAATAATAAGGATAATAATCAATAATATATATTTATTAATTTTTAACTATAAATGTTTATTGGGTTGCAAGTTTAAAATTACGCCTATAAATTCTCACTGGTGTCTGTACTTAAATTCAAGATAAAATTTGGATAAAATTTTGGAATATTTATAACTTAAACTCAAGAATGAAGTTAGTTAGATGACTAGGTACAACTCTATTTTTATCAGGATAAGTATGATGTACAGGGGCAAGACACTACTAAAATTGAGAGTATATATTTTAAATTAAATAAATCAAAAATATGATTAAAAATTGCAGCCCAGCATTGCCACTTTTGCTGCTACAAATAATGAAAAAGCAATTTTATTTGTGGGAATACTTAAAAAGTGTAATTTATCAAGTACATGTTGTACATTTGGCAGCCTTGAATGATTATCATAATACATATGAGAAGTATTGTCAACTGTTGAACATATAATTCATTGCCTTCAGGTTATACATCTTCAGAATAGGGACTATAATGATGAGCATCATCATCTGCATCACAAAAGACTCTATATAGCAAGTGTATCTTGTATGGTACAAATGAAGTGTTTGTTGCTTACAGTGTCAAGCGTGTCATAGTGGGTAGTTTTGGTAATAACTTTTTTGTGGAAATGTATTTCTTTCATGTGTCCTAAAATGAAATGTCATGATACCAAATTTAGTTGCAGTTGGTCTCCTAAATTTATTACTTTAATTACATTCATTCATACTTGAAATTATAAGCATTACAATATTATATTCTGCTTAATATATTAAGTTTTTCTGATTTTAGAATACAACAGAACAAGCATGTTTACGGTTGTTTCTGGACTATCATGGTCTCTCTCTTCTCTGGAGTTGGATGGTTGATGTAGGTGAAGATGTAGTATCATTAAAAACTCAAGTAAGTTTTTTAATTAATAATGCAATACTTGTAGAATGAATGACATAAGAATGAGAGACGAAATTTGTCTCTCAGAGACAGTAGTGATTCTGGTCACTTTTAATGATCTTGTTTTCGTTGATGATGTCACAATTCTACTAGGTTGATTATATATGTTCAGGTTATCTGCGCGCACCAATAAAATTGTATAATTTTTGAAAATGCTGAGTATGTAATTATAGATCACATGATAAGGAAAGCATGCATTCAAATAAAGCATGTAATTTTGATAAAGTTACTTTTTGTTTTATAACATTTTTACAGATTGTAAAGTCAATTTATCTCTTAACAAATAAAAATTTTAATAACCTAAGTTAGAAAAGTGTGCATACTTAGATATTTTTCAAAATATTACTATCTAATTTCTTCTTAACTATCTAAGTAAGATTAACATCATATTCACTAGTTTAGTAATTGATGTAGGATAATTAAAAAAAAAAAAAAGGAATCAGTGGCATTTCCGAGTAGACACTGGAAAAAAATCAGAAGCATTTTCTCTCTTGAAATATTTTTTTCCCAAGATAGAGAACGTTCTCTAATATGATTGTACAGTGCAAGTAGCATCCAGTCATCCATATTGGATATGATGAAATCGAGACGAAAGATGGGTCAAAAGATAACTATCTGCTCATCTCTGAGAAACGAGAGAATCTTCGAGAGAAAGAGTTGTCCAGAATTGCATTTGGAGAGATGCGATGATCTCTCAAGGCGTAAACAAATGATTAGCCAATCAGCGACTGGCTTGTAAGAGACGAAACGATGACCAGAATATGGCCTCACGTCAGCTATAAGTGTTACAAGTATCAGTGGTGTAGCTACAAATTTTTGCCACCCACTGAGCACCCCTACCCTACGCGTTTGTGCCTAAAACAGCTGCTTATTCTCCCCCTTGTTACTTCACTGTTTTTCATGGATATAACAGTTATAATGAGGAAATTTTGCTGGTCCCCTAATGCTCATTATAATTGAGTTTGACTGTACAGTAAAATTTTATTAATCCAAAATTTTTGTTTAAATTAATGTTTAAATTCGTTCGAACATTTATGTTCAATTTAAAAGTTTTTATTTGCCTAACAACAACGAAAATGAATTCGTTGAAAGTGCTAGCAACAGAAAATAACTATTAATAACACTGTACTCTGTGAACATTTCTTCCTGCTTTTCTTCTTTCTATTCTTATGCTTAGATTTTTTTGATTTAACTGTTTCTTAATTATGTTCTAATTGTTATTCCACATTTATAACAGATAATACAAATATAGTAATGTATAATATTATGAAACTGAAAATAAAGTGAAATGTTTGTACTTTCAGATTCTGCGTATCTTAACTCTTCTTCCTATTACAAACAAAACAATGTTGCTCGACAGCAAAGTAATGAGCGTAGTGGAAAGATGGGCAAAACAGTTATCACAAAAGATGGAAAGAGGAAAGGATGAAAGTGTAGAAAATGAAGCAATTAATCCAAATTCCTCTCAATTAGAAGAAGGTGAACAACCAGTAAAAAAATTAAAATTATGTGAAAGTGCTGACGTTACGTCAGATAGTGAGAGTTCTGACAGTCCCGCAACTGCTGATGCTGATAATGCGTATTTATCCACTGCCAACAGACTGAATTCATCTCTTCCACTAAATACGCCTAGTTCAGACATTAATTCGTCTGAATTTAACTTAATGAACCAAATTGAAGGCGACAGGTGTTATTCTAGAGAACAAGAGGCTATAATTCCTCAGTTTGAGAAGAAACCTGAATGTACAAATAATGCACTGTTAAAAGAACCGTTGGGTTCTAATTCTGGTTTTAGAAGAGATAATTTAGAATTGAGTAGATTGAAAGAGGAGAATGATGAAGGAAATAAATTTATGATGGGAGAGAGAAGTTCAGAAATAATTGGACGTGCAGACGAAGAAAGCAGGGATACTGTGGATGATGATGACGAAAGGAGAGAGCATGGAGTAGCATCAATGGCTTACAAACTATTGGAAGTTTGGAATGGTTTGAAAGTAAGTAATATTATGCTCTTTTAAATTGAAATTTAAATATTATTTATAATTAAATATTTTTTAACTGAACAATAATTGATATGCATTAGAAAATTGGAGTCATTATCAGTAAATTGTAAATTAGATGTTTAAATATGAACAAACATGAATACTCATAACTATATCATTTAATTTTTTGAAAATATAAAAAACTATATTCCAAAAATATGTATTTTTTATAGTATATGTAAACTTAGATTTCCCAAAGTATAGTCCATAATCTGATAAGTCTTTGAGATAAAAAAAAAAATACTAGTATCCACAGAAAACTTGCAAAGTGGCATATGAAATAGTGAGAAATGAATAAATTTTGTTTTTTAAAATCTTTTATATATAACTTCTGAGTTGTATCATGCATAATTTAACCGCAAAGAATATAAACAGGTCAAACGAACAACCTTTATAATCCAGCAATAATTTACAATAAAAAAAAAATGTTTTTAGCCATCTTAAGTCGTCTTGTAGAACATAAAAATTTAAAATACAAAAGCTGTAATATATAGATATTCAGTAGAACAAAGATAAATGTTTAATCTTTGTTCTGTTACATGTTTATATTTTGTACATTTTACATTTTGTTTAGATGAAATTGTTAATTCAAGTTTCATTCATATTGACAAATAATGAAACAAATGATATAAATAATTTGTTTTACTGTTTATTACTAGAAAGAAAACAAAACAAGGAATGATTTGCTTTGGTTGATGACTATTAGATTTATATTATATTATTTTCATTTTGTTTTCTTCATAGAGTAATGTATAATTGTTTGAATTAATGTTAACTCTAAGCAAATATAGCATAAATTAAAAACTAAAATGAAAATTTTTTTATAATTACTTTTTACATACATATTTTTGAAAATAATTACAAATTCTATGCTTACAATCTTAGTTCTGAGTTTACAATTCTTAAACTGCTGTATAGTAAATTAGGTTGTGACTTTTAAAATAATAATTTAATTTTTATTGCACAAAGAGGAAAATTTAAATTGAAGTATAAATTCGAACAGAATAAAATATTATCTCCTACTTCAGATTATTATAATTACATTTCTTAAATATGCTTAAAGGTTGAGTTTCAATTTTGAAAACAAATAAAATTAAATAAATTGTATAAATTTGAGTTAAAACTGTTTGTTCATGTTATTTAGGAAGTGTTTCGAATTCCTCGGCTTGAAAAGCAAAAGAGACGAGAGGATGAACAAGAGGTTGACAGATATGAGAAAGAATATTCTCGAAATGTCCGAGATCAAGATCAAGAATGGACGCAACCGAAAGATAAACATAATTCTTTTAAAGAAAAAAATTATAGAACCAGAGAATTTGAAAAGAATCCAAGTAAGCATTATTATAAATTATTGCTTTTTATTAAAACATTTGTTATAAACTGCTTGGTTTATCTTTAATAATAATTAGTTAGTTGAACTGTTTGCACAATGTAAAATTGCTAATACAACAGCACCGAAATTACAAATGGTAATTAGTCTGTAGAAGAGTGCAGTGAGATTATTCAAATGTTACAAACTTGATTTTGTTTTCCTATCAGCTATTACTCATTGGTATGCTCATTGACTTTTCACAAATTTCCCTTTGTTTGGTTTTTTCATTGACTTCAATATTATTTAAGCTTTTATTTTCATTATTATTGAAGCAGAGAGGGTATTAGTTTTGATTCAATGTTTTAATTTTGATAAAGCACATTTTTGCAAAAAGTAAGTAAACTCAGTACCATTGTTTCAGGTTTTCCATGTTGGGTAAACATGTATCATATGAAGCCACATCAAATTTTAATGGTATATTATTATATATACTGTAAATTAAATATATAAACTAATTAAATATTATTATATATTTAGTGTTTACAGCTGTACATGATAATTCAATAAGAAAAATTTATTGCGATATTAAATATTGTTATAGGAAATTAAGCACCACAGAATATATTTGTTTTTGAAAATCAGTTTTATCGTAACTTCTTTGAATACTTATGAAAAATAAATACATTAAAACATATTTTTAGATAAAAATAATACAATTTAAGATAAAATTGCTTAGTTTTAAAAAAAAATATCATATTTATTCTAATAAACAGCATGTTGTCTATAACTTTTCTTTATCTTGCAGTTGCACTAGCTTCTAGAGAGCAACTGTTATTTCTCTTCTTTGGGGATTGGGTGCAACTGTTTTTAAAGGGTTACTACTAATGGAATAAATTTATATTATTATTCAAACAACAATACAACAGTTGACACATTTTGCACTTTATTTTAACATATGGTAAGATTGACAACACAGAATAAAATGTGCAATTTTTCTGTTTATTAGTGGTTGGATTTAAATAATTCAACATCTAGTTCACTGCACTAGTGAGTGTTTTAAATATAAAAAAACATATACATATTTATTTATTTGTTTATATGAGGCCTTACGGCAGGGGTGGCCAAAACGTGACGCATGCGCCAAACTTGGCGCATTGGACGATTACAAGTGGCGCTTCAGTCAGTTCTGAGCAACATTGCCAGATTTGGCTTCTTTGCAATTATGAATATTACATAGAAAATTAATTTTTTATAGTCTGTCTTGGCAAGTTCATTTGTTGCACAATTCGTTGCAATCAACTTTACAGATAAAATGAGTGTTCTCCACATAGTAAATTACAGTGTATGCATGTATGTTTATTTTCGATCAGTGCATAGGCGTCTAAATGACAGTGCTACCGTCCGGACAGTCCACGAGTCGGTTGGACTGCTACACCTGTTGACCTTTTTTTTTTT